TTTATTATTTTTACCCAAACCAGTTAGGGTAAACAATGTTATCCCTAACAGGCCCCTCCCTTGTTTCCCGGTTGTAGCCGAGGTGGGGGTCGCGGCAGGGCCCCTCTCGCCCCCCCCCCCCATTGTCTGGGTCGGAGTGGGCTGCCTGGAAAGAGGCAGGGAAGGAAAAGCGAAAGCGAAAGAGGGAAACTGAGGCATTTTCAGCCCGGAAGCCCCAGAAGGAAAAAGAGCCAAAGAATTTTGGCTTCTGCAGAAACTTCGCTTTTTCTTCTGAATCTCAGATTTGAGGCTTTGGAGGTCAGGCAAGAGGGGAGCTTCGGTCCCTTCTGGGGGAGGCTCTGAATTTGGGGAGGGGACCAAGAAGCTTCTGCCTGCCCTCCCTCCACCCGGAAGGGATGTAGGGGGGGTTCCTGAAGGATTCTCCTCCCTTCCCCCTTTCTTCCCCCCACTCTGCCTCCCCCTGAGAGTGAGAGAGTCCCCCCTCCCTCCTCCAGGCGCGTCTCCCATCAGTCTCTCAAAGGAAGATCCCCCCCACCCTCCCCTCTTCCTGGTGGGACCCTCCTCCTCCTCCTCCTCTACTGGCGGCTGGGAGCGATGGGCCCTGGAGTCCCTCCTGACGGCCTTCCTCCTCCTCCTCCTCCTCTTCCTCCTCCTCCCCCTGGCAGCCCATTTCCTCTACCAGGCGAAGCACGACTGCCGCTTCCTCAACGGGACGCAGCGGGTGCGGTTCCTGGATCGGTACTTCTACGACCGGCAGGAACACATCCGCTTCGACAGCGACGTCGAGAAGTTTGTGGCCGTCACGGCATTGGGGCAGCCGAGTGCGGACAAGTGGAACAGCGATAAGCAGTGGATGCAGTACAAGAAGGCCGCTGTGGATCGTTTCTGCCGACACCACTACGCGGTATACAACTATGAAGCGGCCAAGAGGGAGGAGCAGCTGATCGGCCGGAAAGGTGAGTCCTGGGGAGGGGTCTCTTCTTCCCTGGGAGGGGGAAGCCGGGACCCCCCTTCCCTTTCCTGGCATCCACTGGGGATTCTCCTCCCGGGTGACGGTTCCGCCTCCTTCTTCCTTCTGCCCTCTCAGAGCTCTGGAATCTCCCTCTTCTCCCCCGGATCCGAACTCTCCTCCTGTCCGGGATCTGGGATCCCTTTGATCCCCCCAGGAAATCCACCCAAATCTATGATTTTCTTCTTTGGGGGGGGAGGGGAATCCAGCCAGGTCTCTCTCCCTCCTGCTCAATACAGGAAGTCCTCCACTTAACAATAGTTCCCTTAGTGACTGTTTGAAGTGACAAGGGCAGTGAACAGGGGCAGTGAACAGGTCTCCTGTTCTGGTCCCTCCTGTGCCTCTCATGCGCCTCCTTCTCTTCCTTCCCTCCAGCCAAGCCCACCGTCACCATCTCCCCCACCAAGATGGATCCCGCTTCCCCCAACACCATCCTCCTCTGCACCACCAGGGGCTTTTACCCCCTGGAGATCGAGATCCAGTGGCTGAAGAACGGGAAGCTGGAGGAGGAGGGTGTGGCCTTCGGGGAGGAGCTCCAGAACGGAGACTGGACCTACCAGCTCCAGGTCATGCTAGAGACCCAGCCCCAGTGGGGGGACATCTACACTTGCGAGGTGGGGCATGTCAGCCTGGAGGCCCCCATCACCGTCCAGTGGGGTAAGCTCCTCCCCTCCCTCCCCTCCTGCCCTGAGAAGGGGGAGAGACCCTCCCTGTGGGGGGAGCCGGAATGGACTCTCCTGGGGGACGGTGGGCCTGATCCTCCTGCTCAGGTGTGGCTCCTCCTCCTTCCCCAGAGCCCCGTTCCTCCAGCTCTGCCAGGAGCAAACTCTGGACAGGGATCATGGGGGCCGTGATTGGAGCGGCCTTCCTGGCTGTGGGGCTTTTCTCCTACCTGAAAAGCAAGAAAGGTGAGGCTGGGGGGCTGGAGGAGAGGTTGTGGGGTGGGGACCATCTAGGGGAGGGGACCATCTAGGGGAGGACTCTCATCGAGCTCAGCAGGTGGCCAAGAGGGTCTCCTTGAAGAATAGTTTTGGGAACTTCTGTTCGTCAAGGGGGCTATAAGGGAAGATCGTCCAACCTATTATGGGCTATCAGTGGGGAGGGGGACCCCCTGAGTCCTCCAGCCCATGAAGGATCCTGATTGGCTCTTTTTCTCCTTCCAGCCACTCCCATCCAACCTCCTGCAGGTGAGTTTCTCCTCTTCCTCCCCCATCTATAATAGCGTTAGTTCGTTCTGAAGCTCCGTCCATACTCGGATGGAGGGTGGATCTAAGCCCTTGAGAATGATGACCCTATCAGCTTCATGAACTCCCTCCAAAACTCCACTGTGAACTGGACCCCTTCCTCCCCCCACCCCAGTCCCAGATGATCCTTCTTGGCTCTCCATGGAGACTCATTTGGGTTCACTAGTCAGAACCTTGACAGGCTGTTCTTCCTGACCCCGCTTCTCCTTGTGGGAATTCACACAATTTCTGGCCAAGTGACCACAGGCTCCCCAGTTTTCTTCAAGCCCCATCCTGGCCCCATGTCCTTTGCTCATATGAAATGTCTGCAGGGGGGAGGGAGGGGGGTCTCTCCTCTTGATTAACCCTCTAATTAAGACAAATAGGGAGAATCCCAGAATCCCCTGGAGATGAAATGGGGAGGAATCCCTGGTCCTTCCCAGCCTTTTCCTCCCTGAAATGGGCAGATTCTCCCTCTATTCGTCCCTGCCTGTCAATCACCCCCCTGCAGTGTGGGCCTGCCTTGGGGTTGGTGGGGCTGAAAGGGAAGAAAAAAATGTTATTTACACAAAAAAGGCCTCTTTATATTCTAATTTTCTTCCCTGTCTCTTTTTCTGCAGCTCTCATGGATTAATCCTGCTGTCTGATGCAAAGATATTTTTTTCTTTAGTAGCTGATGATTCTTTGTCCTGTTTGCAACCTCTGAGAAATGGAGGCTGAAAGTGGCAGGTTAGGGGCAGGAAGAGGATGGTAGCTTCCTTTGGGGGCCTCCCTTTCTTGCCAGGGAGGGGTGGTCTAGACTGTCCCCTGGGAATCTGGGCCGACCTGTCCTGCTAGCCCCTTCATCTCTCCTGGCTTTGAACCCACAGCAGCTTCATCTACATTATTCTTCTTATGAATCACTTCCCTTCCCTTCGCTTTGCTATGAAAGAATAAACTTTCGAAGCAGTAAACCCTGGACTCCTTCCTTCCTCTTTGCCGCCCCCACAGGAGGCTCTTCCCTCTGCTGCCTCTGGATCCCAGCTCCTTTGGGGATCTGAAGACAGAACTGGTTCAGGAGAGGGTTGCCATCTGGCCGTTTTTCCGGCCAAATTTGAGAAATCTGGCCATATAAAAATCTGTTTGGCCGTGAAAAAAATCATGTCTCCAGCCAAATATATTTGGCTGGAAATTTGGCTGTATGAAAGTTGCTTGGCCGTGAAATCGAAATTTTGGCCAAATACCGGTTTTCAATACAATATATTTGCATGAAAATGACTGGCCTCCACGAGTGCTGCAGGAGCAGCAGCAGCAGCAACAGCCTCCCTCGCTTGCTTGCCTGGCTGCCTGGCTGGTCTCTGTGCGCTGCCTCCGAGGGGAAATTCCGCGTCCGCGCTGCCATAACTTTGAGCTCAAAAGAAATCGGCTGTCCTCACAGGGTTGTTGTTTTGTGGGTTCGTTTGTTTCATCTGAGG